GCTTTCTTTGTTTTTTCCTTTATTTCTTTCTTTCTTTCTTTCTTTCTTTCTTTCTTTCTTTCTTTCGGTCTTTCTGTCTTTCTGCCTTTTGTTCCTTTGTGTGCTGTGTTTTGCTTGTGTTTTGCTTATGCAGAGGAATAAATTTTTTTGATCTGTGAATAGTTTTTTTTTGATCCCGGAAATAGTTTTTTTTTGACCCCTCTCCCGTTCAGGGCTCTGTCTTCGCTGCCGTGAGTGGCTTTTACACCTTGTGTCAAGTTGTCCTTGCTTGTCACAACTGGGATGTACCATGGCGTCGACAAAAAGGCCGATTTTTCAGACGTGTGCCAAGCAAGAAAAGCGGAAAGCTTGGAATCTAAAGCATAACAACCAAAATCCACGTTGGTGCCCTTTGCTCGATTCGGAGTCTGGAACAGAAACTAGCACCCATTGCCTGCGGCGCCTGAAAGCCGCCCATAATTCTAGCTCAATGCAGCCCCACCACCAGCTTTCAGCTTCAGCTGACACCGCAATTCGTGCGAAGGTGACCTGATCGTCGGTCAACACGTCGCCGATGCCTCACACATGCTGGCATACCCTTGCGTCTCAGATTTACATCGATGCAATTCATGTTGACTTGAATTGCCTTGGCGATGCAGAACCGCGGAAATCTGCGACAAAACTTGGCCTTAAAATCATGTGCCGCAAATGGTACGATCAGATTCGCGAAGCGGAGCGAATCCAGAGAGTAGTCGCTGTTGTCGTCGAGGCACACCCAGCACCTGCAGCCAGCGATTTTCCGAGACAGAGAGGCTCTCAGAGTCTAGGCAACCGCCTGTGGGCCTATTCAATATGCACGGCTTAGGTGGGCCGCACTAGCACTCTTTATGCCATTGATTGCAACACAATTCCAGACTGACATTCTCCCAGAATCGCTTTGCATAGGTCTTCTTGCGTACCAACTTTCCAAACGGAGTTGCTCCGAGCTCTTGCCGTGCTGTGCTTTCGGCCCAGTGGCCGGAGTGCTTGCGTGGGTACAATGCTCGCGTGGCCACGTTCATAGCTCCCAAGATAGATGTAAGAACTTGTGTGGATATTTCTTTCCCCGTGTTTACATACCTTTCCTTGCCGGACTGAATTTTTATAGCTATAATAGCACATTATCCAAACTATAGTGATGTTGGCTGCAGCTGACAGGTAAAGGTCATCTGAACGCAAGGTCTACTTGTGTTGAACATGCTGAAGCATTCGAACAGCTTGCGAGCGTCCGTTCTGTTTGGTAAGGGACTCAATCTCCGTCCTGACTGCGACCTGAAAGGGTATTTTCACCAGTTCGACAAGAGGTAAGATGGTTGACTTTGGGCGGGGTGCACCTTTCACCCCAGTGACGTAGTGTGGGCTCTCTCTCGCAGAGTTTATGTTTCGACACGCGCGCTCGCACAGGCCGGCACAGAGTTCATCTTTACGGATTGTGCGATTGCAAGCGCCCGTGTGTACAATGTGTGAATTGAGCTCCTTTCCCACTCAGAGTTTGGGTTGAAGGATTATCCCAGCATACAGTAGGAGATTTTACGGTGTGTACTTACTAGAACGTATGAGTTGATATGACTGCAAGAACTGCAAACCAGCAGGCACCACAGGAACACAGGACTGCAGGCACTGCCCGCGAACCGCAGCTTGCAGCAAACACAGGAACGTAGGACTGCAGGGTCTGCCCTGCCCAAGGCAGGGTTTAGAGCAAAGCCCCGAGCAATGGGAAGATGCTAAAACTGATCCCCAGATATATTAAGACTCATTTCAGGGAAAATCTTGTTTTAATATGGGGGACGGGGGCAAGTTCAATAACCGAGGAAGAGATGAGTGAGATGAGCCCTTTTGCAGAATTTGGAGTCATTGGAGGAATCCGTCGCTGTTGCGTTCCACCCTACATCAGCATCTCGTCCGCTTGTGCGCCGTTACGCGTTTGCAACTCGGACATGCCAGATGAGTGCTCTCGGGACGCATGTGCGCCTTTGCTAGGGCCATCTTCAACTCCGCGACAGTCCAGTTTTGATCAGCATTGATGCTGCCTGAAGCAGGTGCTGCACTACATTCACAGACTTCGTTGGGCCTTTATGCAAGAAAAGCAGCAGGCGCTGCGGCATTATGAAGACTGTGAGCGAGGACTCGTGCTAACACAGCATACTGTAACACAGCCACAGCTTCGGCACTGAAAAAATGGAATCTCTTCAGGTTGCTGTGCTGCCTTGGTGCAAAGAGGTCCGCTGAGATTGTTGATCTTTACGACAATTGACATACTCGGTTAGGTCGGAAACAAGGGTGATCGCTCGCGCTTGGCGAGGGAAGCCTGTGTTAAAGCCAGCCGTGCCGGTCGCGGCACACGTTCCATCCGCCCTGATCAAATCTGGCCTCCATGGCAAGGAAGACATACGGCTGTCCAGTAACTGCCATACTGCAAACCCTTCAAACAGCAGCGGTGTGCACGAGGTGTTCATTCTGACAACCTGAGCACTATGCACCTGTCCCCTCAGCAAAGCCTGCCTAGCAATTGACACTCAGCAGAGCTACACCGTCGAATGCGCTCCCCACACCCGCAAAAACATCAGCCCATGCTTGTCTGTTTATCCTTCGCCCTCAGCACGTCGTTCGCGTCACTGCTGAGGAAGCGGCCGTTCGGTCGCTGCCTACAACCATCAAGTGGGAGGCCTGGCCAAGTTCGGCAGCTGTGGATGTCTTCTTGTTTTCGACCACTAAGTCACTCAACATCCAAAACTTAGCTGTCGGCAGCTCTGGTATGAGGACACAGGATACTTGTTTGCTATGGGCCTCGAGCCGGTATCTAGCTTTAGATGGAGAATGATCCCCCCTTAAACTACGAGGAGCATGACTCTGAGAGCACGTACCGTGCGCCGTGGGTTGACAGTCGAAAGTCTCAAGGCCATTACTAAGGGGATTGTTTTTGTCGCTCCGCTTGTTGTGTTTACTTATGTGCTTCGAGTTGGTGGGTCACTTTCTGTCTGACTTCACGCTATTTGAGGTGTGTTATCGGCAAGTCGCTTCCTTCTCTCAATCTGTGCTTTCGAAGCGGCAGCATCTGGCCTGAGGGGAGAAGCAAATGTCAGTGACCTGAGAACGCTACAGTTCTGACTGTTGCCGAATCCATAGCTGCCACAGCTCTCACGGGTATACAGATTTCGCAACCGTCGAACTTGGGTCCCAGCGGCGTAACCCTCACATGCGGAAATTGCCATTTCAGGACCTTTGCGTTCCCCGCTGCGTACCAACACACCCCAAAGCAACGCATATCGTTCCTCCCACATGCGCCAGTTAGATAGAGCAGACAATTCAACAGCAGATTCAGATTGTCATTGAGCATTGACAGAAGTCTTCCGTCACATGCGGAATGTCGAAGAAACTCGGCCGAAACTCCTGCGAATTCGCAAATTACGGCTGCAGCCTCGGATGTGATGGTGTCACGTTACCGTTGAAGGAATCGCACTCTTCAGCTGTGCAAGCCGCTGCCTGCCCGACCCACTAAGATCCACTAAGTGTGCCTTTGTGCTTTCCCGCTTCCGGAATCCAGGCCTGTGCTAGACACACAAGTGCCACATAGCCATGCTGATGATCGTGAAAGGGAGCACTACACAAATTTCTTGAAGCGTCGGTGCAGGTGTCAGGGATGTTTGAAATGAGCGGAAGGAACCATGCGTGCTCACCACCAGTTACGAAAAGTACGAGGCTGCATATCATGTCAAGCAATGACACAAGACAGTCTGTTGTCAATTTGATCGTAAGAGCGCAGCAATGTTCCAGTGGTGGACCACCTGGGGCCAGCGCACGGCTGCCTTTGTAGGATAGCAGCTGGATTCGCACGAACAGGCACGCATGCAAGTCTTAGTCTTACGTTCACTGCCTTGTGCACGTACTCAGCACCCAAGAAATTTGAGTTTTTTCCCTCTCGCATTGCCGAGAACTATGCTCACGGGCGAGGTTCAACAGAGAAAAAGAGACTGCAATCAATTGGAATTCAAGTTTCGTCTGCAAGCTGCTATGACAAGCCTGACGACCCACATCATCTACTAACTGTTACTAACTTAAGCTGAACAATGTTCAACGACATAAAGTAAAGTCAACTACAGATCAAGTACTTGGGAAGGATGAGGCCTGAAGCCGCCTCGCGTGAGCACTCAACCGCCAGCATCGCATCTTCCACAGGCACATCCATCGCCGTGGCAAAGCCTTGCTTCATCGCATCCTGCACGGTAGCATTGTTGAGGATCGCAGCTGCATCGTCGACGGTGAGCGGCAATGTGACTTCGATGATGCTGTAGGCCACTCCCGCCGTTGTTGTTGTCGGGCCTATCCGGCAGACACACTCCTGTCTCGAACATGGGCTCCCACTTGCCAGCGCCATTTGCGTTGCAGGCAGACGCATTCTCCACGTTGAGGCTGCAACTGGAGCTGTAGGCCAACGTGTCAGCATACTCCTCGAAGTTGTACACACTGCAATTTCGTGTGTCCACTGGAAGCGGCTCCCACAAGGTGGTCCAAGATTGCCAACCGTAGCGTGTCCTCTCCCTGGGCGTGCCGGTGATGCTCATGCCCATGCTGAGTATCCAGGCCATGAAGTCGTCTGCCGAAGGACCCGAGACCAGCTGGCAGTCTTTCAGTAGTTCAGCTTGATACCAAGAGCTCTTCAGCCTGATCCAGGGCCGCCTTGCAGTCAGGACGCCACCGGCTGGCCCATGTGCATCAGCAGGCTGACGGGGGCATTGATGATGTGGTAGTTCGTGGCGACCTCAAACCACGGTGTGCTTACTTTCGCTGCCACCTCGCAGAGGTGCATCATGGGGCCTTGCTCAAATGCTTCAATGCTCAGCGTCACGTCACCGCCGGGGGCCGGGATGGTCTGCGTCTCTACATCGGTAGAGTCGTAGGTGAGCAGCATGATATTCTTGAAGGGGTGGTTGGTCCCGACGCTAATTCTCATGAAATGGCCGTTCTGTTCGCTGAGAACAGCAACCCCTAAGGTGACTTCCTCACCAGAGAGGCTGTCGAAGAGATTTTGATGGAGCCGTGGCGAATGCAGGCACCAACATCATGGCTCTTGTTGAGCAAGGTACTGGCATAGTTCCGCACAAGCTGGAGCTGCCCAGGCAAAAGTAGGCAAGGGGTTTCGACATGTAACTAGCTGCCTTTGCATAACGATGGAAACCCCGGCCAATGCCCCACTGATCCTGAAGCCAGTCTGCATTCTTCACCAAAAATTCTTGAATGGCCGTCGTTCCCGTGTTGGGCGGCCCAACATGAACCATCAACTTGGGGCCCTTGCAATGCGTATGTGACGTTGACGCCTGGAATGAAGTCTGCTCACCCCCTCCCCTCGTGCTTCTGCCCAAAGTGGAAACCAGCTTCGCGAGTGGCTCAAAAATGCAGAGCATGACGATGAACGCCAGGGTCAGTGCATAAAAGTGAAGGTTCATCTCCAGCAGACCATATGGGTACTTTAGCGCGAGCAATGGAGCGCGATCTTGCCGATCAACTGCTTTGGTTCGAGCCAGGCAACTTCTTCAGCACTGATGTCCCTCGAATCTTTCACACTTCATTTTGCTGCACTTCATGTACACACTTTAGTGAATCCACCTTCGAGGCCATGATGACGAGATTTTAATCAACATAACCGCAGAATGGAGGCAAATAAGGATGTAGGGGCACGAAGGTATGAACTAGCGGCGGACATCGGCAAAAGCTGTAGCCATTTAAGTCTTTCATGAGGTGAAACTGCAGGGTCTCCCTTCGCCTAGAAAATACAAATACTAGCTGCAATGCCGATTGGATCGTCTAGTCTAATGCCCTGCACGTGGGAATTCCTGGCATCACAATCTCCCTGTCTTCGCTTCCTTACATAACGTCCGCCACTTCCTTTCAAACTTCGACTTCCTGTGCCGTGGGACCTGTGGGGACCTTGCCCTTGCCGAGCCGAGCAGCCGGAAGGGCCAGGCCCCTGGCCGGAGCTGGATCGCGGGCGGCTTGGCCTAAACGGAAGACAGACCGTTCGAACGATGCAGCCATTCAGCGATTCGGTGACAAACTCACGCGTCTCCAGTCTGCAGCTTTCTTGCGGCCTCTGACCGGGCTTTGGGGGCCCGAAGTCGGGCTTCGACCTAAGAAACACAGCTTCGTGTTGTGACTCTGGGGTCGTCAGAACCAGGCCCCTGCGGAAGAGGTCTGGCGTTCAGCCGTGGCTTCCCGAGCACCTGACATGATGCCCCGCTACAAAGGTAAGCCGCTGCAAACCAGCGCAATATGAAGCACGGGAGGAGCAGCAATGCAATGCTCACGAGCAGCAGATAGGGGCAGCATCGTGCAATAGCACAAGCTGAAAAACGACGACGTGCATGTCGTCAGGCGACAGCCAGCCCGGCATGAACCGCCATGGGCTTGTGACTAGCATAGTTCACAGCCAGGAGCTAGGACCAGGTGCAATGTTGTGACGACAATCGAGCACAAGTGCGACTCGTTACAATGTTGTCAGCCCCCAGCGCAAACTTATGCCTGGCATAGCTTAGTCAGGGACTCATGAATTGAATGACGGTTTGACGAGCGAAGCAAGAGCGCGATGTTGCTCATGATGCTGAGTGCATCATTGCCATCATGGGCTCTGTCCGACCCTATCCTATGTAAGTTTTCGTGACCGCCAGGCAGATCTGCCAACGGACTGCAGGGGATGGCTGATGCATGTGATGCTCACGTTGAGGGCGCCCGTGAGGAAAACACATGACAAGCAAAACTGAGCACATGCAGCGAAGCGCCATTGTGGGATATTCTGAGTGTGTTGCTTGGCGCGCTTCTGGACAACATGTCATGGAGAAGTCGGACAGGTTGGCCAGAAGCATGGAATGGCCCGCGAACTTTCTGCGATTCACCGGCCGTCGCGTGCCGTCGCGCTCTACCAGCAACTCCAACATGTCGGAGGTGCCTTCCGTCATCTAACTCACGTCCATGCCATGCAGTCCGAGAAATCAGTGGTTTTGAGAATCCGCGGTCTGGGTGTTCAGGAAACCCACTGTTCCCAGCCGCTTCAGGTTGGAAACTGAAAGGAAATCGTTCCTTCCGCCCACCTGGGGTGGAGAAAATGAGCGAACAAAGCTCCGCCGAGCAGAGAGCTTTGTTCAGTGGGTTCGGCTCGGTTCGACTCAGAGAACTGGTAGAGCAGCGTTGGTATGTATCCGTGGACTGCTCTTGGACAGCAGTGGGTACTGTCTCTGTTCTGGGCCTGCTTAAAGCGGAGAATCAGCGACCTCTGAGCACAGGATGCGGCATGGTCACAAGCTGAGCAAAGTGCCCGCGGAGGCTCCGTCGGGGGACCGTATCCCGCAGATTTCACCTTCGCAATGCGGTGCAAAAGGAAAGGTTCAGCAATTGCTGGTCCTCACCCGCTCTTCAGCAGCGTCGAAGCATCGAGTTTTCCGCAGAGACCAGGCTAGACCCGACAAGCCCGTGGCCACGGGAACGGCAGTCCTGCACAGAAACATAATGTCTCGTCACTGCCGAACCCGGCAAGGCTCTTGTGGCTTTGCCACTCGGGAATATGGCTACTGAGCGCTTCGTCAACTGCTGAGCGCTGGCTCCTGGCTTCGCCTTGCAGCCCAGACTTTCCGGCCCGGATGCTTTTGGGCGTGTGCTGCCAAAGCTTGGAGGAGGAACTTGTGGCGTAAGTATGTTTTTGGGTTATGACTCAGCAGATTCCTTGTGGCACCGCAACCGTCTGACTGAAGCGCGACAGCTTGCCCAAAAGCATGCCCATTGCGCGTAGCCGCCTACGTGTTGAAGCCACTACATCGGACTAGGGACTCACGGATGTGATGGAGATTTGAACAACTCCCCACGCTTGTATCTGACGATGTACCTCCAGGCTCATCTGCGTGAGCTGCAGTATTCTCGCTTGGCGCACCAAGAAAACTCAGAACCCTGCTCGGGATACACGTTCTCCGTGTCAAACCTCAGCTGCACATCGGCAAAGCTCCACTCACACTAAGTCACTAAGCCATGTTGAGGTTCTGGGCCGCCGCAGGTTACAAGCCAGTAAGCGTTCCTGAGGAGGAATCATTGAAGCCGGGTGCCGGACACAATGAACTCACGGTATGTGCCGGAAATCTTGATGCGGTCGCCCAGGATGCAGTCATAGTCCCTGGTGTTGTCACGCTCTCTGAATCGCGCGGTGCTGCAACTGCTCTTCCGCATCATCTTCGCGTGGTATCGTGTAGCCAGGGAATCTACAGGCTGTGCGAAAAGATTGGCGCACGAGGACCCGGCCCCTGGGTACATTCGCGTGTCAAGGCGTCCGGATCGGGAGTCCTGCCAGGCTTAACCACTGGCTAGCTCTGGATTCCCGGCTCTTGTCTTGCAGCTGCGCTCGAGGCCTTTCGTCAGTGTAGCGCACACGCCCTCCAAGTACACGGCCTCAGCTCCAACTCAAGCAGCTTGGGGCCCATAACAAAGCATGTAAAAACAAGAAGCTCCCATGGTGCGCACACAAGAGAACAGTGTAAAGGCCGTCTTCTTCCCGGGAGTACTCATCAGCCTCACACTCTCAAGCGAAAGGACTGTTCAGGCATCAAATCAAAGGGCTCGCTGGCACAAACCCGGATATGGTTTCCATTCAATTCTTCGGCCTTGGTGATGGACTCAGCCAGGTATGAACCACGACCTTTCGTGAAACTGTCTTGCCAGCCGCAGGGTTTTCATGCGAGTTCTTTCCTACGGGGACTGTGATGCTATCACACAACATGCCCCTTGCTGACATGCTGCCGTACAAGGTGCCGGTGGCGCTGCCGGCAAGTCTCATCTTGAAGTCTGACCTGGCATGTGGTACACCTGCGAGATTTCCACCTCGCGGTAGAGATAGTGAGATAAGTTATCTGATTAATACTGTATGTGCACTCGCGCGAGCCTGCAGATGTTGTGGGCGGCAGAGTTGCTTGTCCCATGCCAGAGGTACCACCTGAACGGCATCTGCGGGCAAAAACTTTTCACAGTCCTCCACTACTACTCGACGAGGTGAGAACCGAATTACAGCGGCTTCGCTGGGCTTCCAGCTCATTAATCTCAGCATCGAGTCGGTCCCCATAAGCAGCCCAGAACCTGGTTGTCAGCACCTTGGCAGGTCGCGCTTTATGCCACCTTGTCCTGGCGTTGGGTTTGCTTTGCCATTCCCTTTTGCTGTTGGTTCAGGTAGCCTGGTGACTGTGCATGCCCTGCTGGATCCTATCACTTGGGCCGCTGCATCACTGAACACCTGGACAAGTAGCTTGAGCGGCATAGAGGTGTGTTTGCGCTTGAGACACATGGCCTGCCATTCAAAGCCGCAGTTAGCTGCGGTCTTCTTTTCCTTGGCACACATGCTTTCTGGCGGGAACAACCTGCATTGCCAGCCCTGTGGACTTGTGCAGGAAGGCTGTGACCGACCCCACTACCCGGCATTACCCGACCCACCTCCAGCATAGTGTGTACAGTCCGAGTTGGGCCTCCACATCTAAAGCTCCACAAGCACTTCGCGGCAAGGCGCCTGTTGGAGCTCCGCTTTCTTGACGCAATACCTCCGACAATACTCCGACGTCTTGCGGAGTTTGCAGACAAAGGGCACAGGAACCCTGAACTATGTCTTTGTGCTGTAAGTGCGGCAAAACAAGGCATGCCTCCCGTTGCCTTCAGCCGCCTGCATCCCGACTGCTCTGAGGAGCGAGCTTGCGCCAAAGCTTGCTGTTCTCGTTGCGCAGGGCCTTACGAAAAGATTTGCTGGTGGCAAGGGCTTGCTTGCTCATGTCTTAATTAGCCTTTGTCAGCTCGTGGCAGACACAACCTCGAAGCCACGGGGCCTTGTCATGCACACTCTCTCGGCGAAGGGTTGAACCACTGCCGAACAATTCAAGCATCCAGCACCATCCAACTCCCAGAATGGCGCTGGCGGTCACGCGTGGTGACATCCTAGTTGGCAGGGACACAGTGCATGAAGCATGGAGAGGCGGGGCATTGTCGTAGGCCCGGCGCCGAGTACGTGGCATCTACGAGTTGCTTCAGCCTCGGCGCTGTGCTGCGGCACCAAGACAATCTGATCATGCAGGTGTCAACTCCTTCGCGACGCACTTTCGGAAGAGCCCGGGTTCCGACCGCGCGGTCATGTCGACTGACACCTCCGGGAGCACACAAAACCTGGGCGTCAAGTGGTTCGGCACCTGATGCATTGCATGCATTGCATCCTGTGCTCTGAGTGATCAGCTCGTCCTGCAGAATGAGACCTTGTTCGACGGCGCATTCAAGTTCTGACCTCTTCCCGTCTATCCGGAGTCTATCCCCAACTACGTGCCGGGATCGGGGCCGCTATCAGGAGCCGAAGAGCTCGCAGCAAGAGAACTGGAACCTTGGCACCACTCCAAATCTTGTAGTCTCGCTTTGCGCGGCAAAGCCTGGATTCCAATCTCGGAGCACGGCTCCAATACTCAGGATAAGGGACCTGCCAGGCAATCTGTAAGCAGCATCCACCGTGGGTGCTACGAACACTAGCAGCCCCCTGCCCCTGGACAGGTGGGAGATCCAACTGTAAGCAGACATCCCGGAGACAATAAACTTGCTTCGCAGAAGCTGAGACGTGAGCATGTGAAAGCGACAATCTGTGAGGCATGCCGTCCGACTACTCTTGTACATTTCGGCAAGCCGAAACATCGAGCACAAAGAAAATGAAGTCACCTCCGCACAGCTCAGGGAACGCCGTGCGCGTGCGGCGCAGCAAGTTGCAAGTGGATTCGCTCCCCCGAAGCATGCTGAAGCAAGAACAGATGGCCCACAGAAACAGGTTCCACAAAAAGCCTGGAAACTATCTCCTCGACAGCCGTGCTTGAGCATATGCTCCACAGAGTACAGCTGTACGAGTAGTGTATAAGTGAGCCAGGATGACCGCAGCAACTCCACATGCAGCAGATGCCTCATTGATTTGGGGCTGAAACATGCTTCAGTTGTCATGTGCGCTACCGCTACTGTAGACACTGTAGCCATCCCATGCACAAGGCATGCAGTTGCGTCTCCAGTTCAGTTGTTGAGGCCACGGCATGCAGCTTTTTCTTGTGTCCGCAACGGCACATCCTGGGATTCTTGCACAATCGAAGCGCCAAGGCGGTCTGCCATCTACACCAGTGGCCAGTGCTGCCACAGAAAGGTGCCACGAGCGAGCACGCCAGATGCTGGTGAGATCTGCCAACATTGTTCCTACAAGTCGACGGCCCTTCTAAGGCAAGGTGTCCAGGTGCCAGGCTCCTTCCCGCCGGGGCCAACTGCGGTGTCCCAGTCTTCTTGATCAGGGTGTGAGAAGCCTGGCCCACGCCGCACTACACTGCAACGGCCTCAGGCCACCTGCTTCGACAAGCTGTGAACGCGTGCCAGCACTACTAGAACGATGCTCCTCGTTCTTCTGGTAGCATGTAGCTCCTGGGACGAAACTCACGCTCGACTGACACCTTCCTTTTCGGTATTGAGAAAGGCCCGTGAGCTGTCTCTTCCAAACTGTGCCGAAAACAAGGGGCTAGCAGGCGATAGATGGAGCGGGCGAGAGATTTTCTGAGAGCGGCTCCATACTTGCAGCGTCGCCGCTGCATGACAAACTTCGTGCACGGGCATTCAAAGACCTTTTTTTAGCAGTCAGCGATTTTCTCATACCAGGTTACTAAGCAGATCTAAGCAGGCAAACGTAAGGCTGGCACTCCACACTTCAGGTCGGACGTCCCGTTGGTGGTGCCGAGCAAGTCATCCAAGCCCAGCGGAAGATCTCAGAAGTCGTTGAGCTCTGTTGATGACGGCACTAGCCGTCAGAGCTGTCAGCACAGAGAGCCGGACCCACTCGCATCTTTGTAGTGAACTCTGCGAATTCTCCGAAATTGATATAGCCTCAAGGCTTCCCCAAAGCTTCGTTGGGCAGTGAGAAAACCCAGCCCAACTTTGTCACACCATGTTACACCCTGGTCATGCTGCGATGTTCCTGCTTCCGTGGGCAGGACCGTTTCCGTCATCGTCCAAAGAACTCCAAAGCTCGTCGGTCAAAGGTCCGACCTGAAGATGCCAAGATTGCGCTATTCTCGACCCAGCTCTGTGCCCCATGCGTCCTTTGCGAGTCTCTGAATTTCGGGCCAAGCCTCAGCAAGGAGCAAAGGCAAGCATTGTGCTCGAACATGCGCCCCAATCCCTGATCCCTGAGCACGTGGCGTGGCTTTGCAGCTTTTCGCCTCAGCACTTCGCATGTCAAGACTTGGCACCGGGATGCAATGGGTCGCTGCCCTGCCAAGCGGCGCGTCGCGCGCCCAGTGCCGTTATCTGCCCATTCCTGGTTGTTGCGACACTCTTTTTCATGGAGCCAAGTGAGGTTGCCACAGGACTCGGGCAAAGAGCTTCCGAATGCTGCAGAACCTCGGTGCATTCGGCTTGGAAGAAGCTGGAGACGGGTAGATATTGATGAGCCAACTATGAGGCCATCATTCAGAGCCGGACTCCGGCTTCTTACCGATCTGCTCACAGCAAAAGAGATAGTCCTGGAACCGGCATTATGTCGAAATCCCAAACGCAACGTGCCGGAACCCGTGAAAGGTATGAGGTCCAGGCATCGTCCCAAGGATGAGCATGCTCGTTCAAGTGCTCCGGATTCCCTGGGTCAGCTCCCAGTGCATAAAAGGACAACTCAACAGATGAGACCTTATATTTGGCACAAAGTTGTACGGCAACCGACATCAAGAAGAGCATATCATCCCTATTATGAGACTGAGCAGGCCGGGTGCAGTGCGTCGGTAGCACTGCGTGCCGTAGTTGCACCTGCCGAACTTTTCGAATTCCGGTTGAGAAGAGGACTGGTTCCGAGGAGCAGAACTTTGAAATTTGTGCCGGTGCCATGCGGCACGTCTTACGAAACATGGCGAGGCTACACTGGGCGCAAACCTCTGGACGTGAAGGAGCGACGCCTGCCGCAACCGGCAGATGGGATATAGTGCAACTTGGAGCTCGCTGGTGGCATGGGCATTGCGTAGTAATTAGCATGGTTCTGGGGACATGGTGATGAAGTGATAAATGCTTCGAGCTTCTGCAAGGTGCGGAAGTTGTGCATCCTGCATGGCTAAATATAGGACTCTGGGAAGACATTGCGACGAGGGGGGGCGCTCAATTAGTTCGACTTCAGTTTGCTACCCTTTGTTGGTGCGTCCGTTACATTTCGGAAAAGGATGGAGTGGGTCAGTTGGAGGTGGTACGTCATTATTGTCGACATGATTGCTGTTAGTGTTTCTTGGGGCGCACCCCGTGCTGCCGCACCACTCTTGACTGAATCGGTCCATGGAATGTCTTTTAGACCATCGGGGCAACTGGCGTTGTTGGTTCTGCCGGCTGACTATGTAAGTTCGGCAAGCTGCTTGGGGCTTTCGGACCTTTCTCCTGTGTCTGAGATCAAAACCCAAAGCCCTTCAAAAGCGGGGCATGAACACGAAGCCTTAAGACCAGCTCCTGCTGCACGTCTTGGTGGTGATTTTTCTGGGGAACTGGAGAATATAAACCGACGGAAACAAACAGAGAGAACGAGATCGGCAAAGTGCCCTGCGAGCACTTCTGAGCTCTGCGCAGGAAGCTGCGATTGGCCATTCGCACGACTCAAAGACAGAACAGGCTGCTGCTAGCAGGTTCAGGCTTCGGCTAGTCATCTGCGGTCATTGAGGATTTGACCAGATGGACCATGGCAGCGCAGCAGCCGAAGGAAGCGACATGCTAAGTAGGACCAGTCCTCTGAGTGCACTGTTGTGTCGCTTCCTCAGCCGATCCGGCCAACTCGTCATCGCTCTTGCTATCTGTCTCTCTCTGTCTCTGTCTGTCCTGTTCTGCCTGCAGTTCAGCCATAATGTGTTGAAACTAAGGACGAAGTCTTGTTCACCTGCCTGCGAACTTTTGAGCCAGCATGCCTGTTTCTCGGAACTCTGCTCTGCCTCTGTCAAGATGACAATGAACGCCACAGGCCTTCTTGTGGAAGGTCACCGGCCTCGAACTCAATCATTGCATGCATACGACATCTTGGACTTAAATGCGTGCGCTTCCCGAGGCTTGCTAAGCCGCTGCACTGGTTCATTGCATTCACGGACCGGTTGCTACGGGTGCGCTGCGGCATGCTTCCCGCGCGCCTGAGCTCCAGCTCTTAACTTGAACCGAATCCATACGGGCTCGCATGCAGCGCCTCGTACTGCCGCCCTGAGCAAGAGCACGCCCGAGCACTGAGTCCTTGAAGTGTGGAGCTATAGCAGCTAGAGCATACGCAGTTGGTCATGCTCGGCCAGGCATCTGACTGGAGGTATGGGGCCCAACGGCACGACAGAGCCTCAAGCAAAATGCGTGACTGGCTATCTCTCAGGCGTGCAGGCGATGCGAGTCGACGTCTGCACTGAAGGTTCGGCTCCCATGCCCAACGCTTGCACTTTTCTCTGCAAACCTCTTTGGCTGGCGAAGTCTAAGAGTCTAAGATCCAGGAACTGCAAGGCGACTATGCCATGTAGTGCATTTCTCGCTTGAACCTGAGCTGCATGCAGGGCGAGACGACAGCCCGGCTGCCAGGTGGGCTTGCTTCGTCGACGAATTGCTGAGCAATCAAGTGGTTTGTTTTCGTCTTGCTTATGCAGCTGTGGCAACCTGTCTTGAAAACGGCCTCGTTCCTGCAAGCAGCGGGCAGAAGCCTGGGATGTCAAACGAAACAATACACTCCAAGGAAGCCGTGTCAACCGCAAGAAGTTTTCGGAGTTCAACTTGCGAGGCTCTGACTTTATCGCGCACGGCAACACCCAGGCGGCGTATGTTATTATCTGCACCGCAGACCATGCGGTGCGTGATGTGCAGAGATTGTAGCTCTTCCACTGAAAGATTCGCACGCCAGAATCAGAAGGTCGTAGAGTGCCAGGAAGCCGAGCGTTTTGCAATCGCATCTGGAGAGCAGCCCTGAAAGTCGCCCCTGCATCGAAGCTAGACATGTTGTCTGACGACCGTTGTGTAAGCGCCGCATCGCACTCTGTGAAACCCCACATGCACGCAGCCTCTTGAAGTTCAAGTACAGGACATCACGCGGATAGCTTTCGTAGTTCGCCATTCCCCAATGCACTGTCCTTCCAAGTGTGGCGTGTAAGCTTGACTTCACTCTCCACTCGTAAAACCCCTTTAAACAGAGTCACGTAGTGTCTCCGAGCCGCTGGACTTGAAGCCCTTTCCCGGCCCGGCCTGGAATCATAGATCAGTGCATCTCCGATATCGAGCGGCGCTCCGACCAGCATTCGATCAGCGTAGCGCTTGGTGTTGAACCAAGCACGCAGCCCTAAGGGCGAAGGTTGTCATATCACTCGACAGGCATATTCAAGCATCTGCCGGTTTGCTGCCAGAGACACTTGAAGGTGCTTCCGACTGACCTTCAAGGATTTCAAGGGCCGATTCAGTCGGTCCGGTATATGTCGCAGTAACTTCAAGCTTCTACTTCTGCCAAGCGTCTTGAAGCTGCAGAAGCTGCAGAGACAGCTGGCAGCTCCTGTATTCGGCCGACTTACTGACGTTTACACTCCTGCCAGCCCGACACGCAGGCGACACTCGTCGCCCGTCCTCCTTGAGATCTTCTGCAGCATTGGGCTCTATGACGGGTCTGAGCACCCTGGCCACTATGTTGTCTCTGAGTTCCGGCACATGGTCCTTGACCTGTCCAGGCGCACATGCCCATTCAGATCCATCATGCTGATCAAGTACCATCACTATACCCACATACCGCACAAGGCCTCAAGCCAGGTCACGAAGTCCAGATCGTTCACGTGAGTTACCTCTTGCACGCGCAGTGAGTGTGAACCACATCGGGAGTGCCACATCGATTCTGCCCGTTCGCCCTCTCTGGTAGAAGGATACCAGTATCATTGCAGGCTGCAGGCACCGGGCCGATGCCAAGAGCACGGCACACCGGGACTGGGCAGCCCACACTTGAAGAAGAGAGGTGCTTGCAGGACAAAAAAACATGCCCACCCGTCTACGCCAGTTCTTCTGCCTCTGCATCCACAAAACCTGGCCTCGTCGCCTTGTTGGAGGCCCAAAGCCTTTGCAATTAGAGGAGGCCATCGGTCAAGCACAGAGCTTCATGCGAGCGCAAGCCCCAAGCTCAGCAATTTTGACAAGATGCCTTTGCCGCATCATCACGGAAGTTGCGAACCAGAACGCGCATGGCTCCTGACCGGCTTGCGATTTCCCATCCGCTGCAGTCACCAACTCATTGTGGGCAAAGCCCTGTCCTCTTCGGAAATCCACAGCTGGCAGCAAGGCCACCTGCCGCTATGCCGCTATGCACTGGGGCACCAGAAACCGCACGATGCCCCCTCACGAGTCTAAGGCATGAAAGCTGAGACCTTGCCCAACAGATCAGTCCATGATTTTTTCCCACCCGCTTCGCGATGATGGAACTCAGGGTTCGCAGACTAATTTGGTACAGGCTGAAGGTGTCATCGTCGTTCTGTCCAGATACGTCGCCAGTGTCTCAGGGACGTTTGTTGCACCCTGAGTACGTGCGTGGGCGTCCAGGCGTGCTGTAACCGAGGTCGGCGGTTGGCTTGTCTGCCCCGTGCCGCACGGTACGCAAGGCCCCCGGCATTGTCTGATGTTTTCTGTCAGAGGCGCGGAATCTTGGGGCCGCAGAGCTCAGTCCTGCTGTCCTGTCCTTCCATGATCTGCCTCCACGAACCCGGAGGTTTGTGGTTGCAAAAGTGCCGAATTAGGTGGCCCTGCCCTTCCAGCACATCACAGACGCACACGAACAAGAACGTCTCTGCAGTAGCACTACTACTTACTACTTCACCAATCAGATGTATACAAGAAGAGGAACCGCATCGCTCACAACACGCAGCATCTCCGCCTCGCTGGGGCCCCACTGCAGAAAGTGCTCTTCTTTTGCTGTGGCACGGGTTTGCCTGCCGACAGCGCGCAAAAAAGCTACCTCTGGACTGAAAGACAGCTCGAATTCGACAGGCTTCCCTTTTTTTATGTGGACTGCACACAGAAGTTGTAACAACGCACGATCTTTGGATCGTCTACCTTACATGTTGTCCCACGACTCCTCAATACCCACGCAGCCACTACTGTAGCAGCAACACGCGCCGTGCCTATGAAGCGCCTCCTCAGCTTTCTGACGGCGCTCAGCACCCCGCAGCTTGAGTCGCGGAGGAGCGGACAGGACCTGAGAAGATGTCGACCCATCACAGCTGATGTGTCAAACAACACATGGTGGCTTGAGTCTTGTGCAGCTAGCAAGTTCCTCCATCCTAGCATTGTCATGTTTCCCGCTGCTGGTATCGGATTCAAACAGTCAGGAAAGTCGCAGATACTGAATTGCGACAAAAGCCGTAGATTGCCAAGCAAAAGGTGGTGACCCGTTACTGTTGCTGTGCGGTACACGGCCAAGCTAACGTGCCCCTTCAGTGCCAAGCTGCACTTGGATCTGTATGCGAGCCCATGCAGAAACCCAGCGGTGCAAAGCCTGGAAGTCTGCAAGAAAGGACGGCTGCTGTTGCACAGAGGAGTGGGTTCACCAAGCAGCCACTGTAACTAGTAATGCATAGACCAGCATCAAGCATCCAACACAACAGCTGCACGGGTGGGAGCGGGCTTCAAACAAAGCCTGATTCAATTACGTCTTGGCCAAGTGTCCGTCGTGAAGCGAGTGCAAGGGTATGTGCACAGACACACTGCCCTCATCCTGGGTGTCCACGTGCGCATTTTGTGCAGGAGCCCCAGGGTCCACCGTGATGATCATGGCACTTTCCAGCCTCTGATTCAGACAGCATCGATTGTGTTCAGTCTATTGATGGAGGACCCTGCGAGACCGGCTCACAGATGTGCGGGCAGGGTTCATGATTCATATAGAGACATATGTAAGCCAGAAGAAACATTTTAGCGCTCCTCCTGTGTGGTGGTGGTCAACACCGTTTAGTCCTCGCAACCTTCAAGTCCCGCCGGAAATGCTTTTTTTTAGCACTCGCACTCGACAAAGCAGGCGAGGGTTAGGAAGGTCCCAACATCCGCCGGAAATGCTTACAGATTTGTGTGAGGCACACCTGATCACTGGCTGCTGTGCTTGTGTACCGCCAGGCGGCTCACACTCCTCTCCCAGGTAGCCTGCCAGCGTGTCCCGCAAAGCGTAGTCTGTTCCCAGAAGCTGCAAATTGCTGAAGGGCGCCTGGCATGTCGAAGTCAGTACACGGCTTACTCATCGTCTCGCGAAAGCTACAGGTATTTGTAGCTCGGTCTGTCTCAGGACAGACCTGATACGGCAGGTGCGTCGCCGCCCGCTCGCCACGGAGCTGGCCAAATCGCAAGACCTGATTCGGCACTGCTGCGTCTGACGACTGCGAACGATCTTCCACCGCCCACCGCGCACCACGGCAAGCAATCACAAAACACATAAACAACAAACGTCGAACTCCAAACAACTTTCGCAGCCAGGCTTCGTCGTCTCGAAAGCCTTCATGCAAACCTCGGGAGCCCACTTTATTGTGGAAATCGCAGGCGGTCGCAGTAGAAAGCCTACTTCTGCGAGGAATCACCTCCTTACAAATTGCGTGCGCTCAGGACATCTCGGGACAGTCGAATCATGATTTTGTGAACCCCACGATCTGAGCACGGAGCTGCAGAAACTCCTCTGGATCTCTCGCAACTGCTCAACCTCTGCAAGAAATCAACGGCATGCAGCGTGTATGTTCCTTCACCGTTTGCACATGACAATTTGCTTCACCCCGCAAGTTCTGTGTAAAATCCAGAATCCAGGGCATGTCCTGGTCCGAAGGCAGGACCGAGCCTTGTTGCCTTTCAAAATCATGGCCCGCTGGCCTCGAAGGCCCCAGAGACCACAGCCACTCCGTGCGAGCGCAGGACCTGCAGCGGCGTCTCCTCTCAGCAACCGCTTGAAAAGCTTGAAAGTGCGTCAATGATCAATAGGAGAAGTGTTTGAACCCAGAGCCGCGGAGCCAAGAACAGGACCATAAGGCTCGAAGTTCGGAATGTCTAGTCTCAAAGCTGGATTTTGAAAATGGGGCATGCTCCAAGCATCAGGAATGAGGCGCTTCGCCAGCAGGCCATGCGCACTTCCAAAATCCGTGCTACAAGTAGCAGGCCATCGGTCTAAATGGCTCCTGCCTCCTAAGCACACCTGTGTTTCGATGCGATCGCTGACCACATAGCTAAGAATCAGCCGGCTAGATGCAAGATCCACAAAAACGCTCTAGAGAATGATAGATGAAGTGTAATTGCTCATTGAAGCGAGCCGACTTCTAGGCAAGTGGATCGGACAGACAAAACCTACGGTAGGACACAAGACTCGGGCAACTTCGCAAGAATCCTGCTTCTGCTTCTGTCCGCTCATATATACGGCATGCAAAATTATCAACTACTCCTCAGAGGGAACACTTCAAGCTGACAGGTCCTCTTCGCTCAGCGTGCGCAGCCTGCTTTGCCGTCATTGGGCATGCGTAGCATAGATCGCGCGATCAGTTTCCCGAAATCGTTTCTGTGCTCTCAAGGCTGCGCCAGCACATGCCAGCACCACGATTGGACAGCGACACCGGGCCGGCCTTTCTATGGTCCACCCAGGACTTACACCGGCATTGGAAGGTCGCCTGCGCGGCACCTCTTGGCTGCCCATACATGCACTGCTTGCCAGCTGCATGCAAATTTGGCAGTAGTTTGCTTGCATGCGTGCATGGTATAATTACATGCATATATATATATATACACATTATATTTTATACATATAATTATAAAGCCAGAGAGAGAGAGAGAGAGAGAGAGAGAAACAAAAAGGAAAAGCGAGAGGCCATCAGCTTGCCAGCAACACATAGACGCGCCGATGCTCTGTGGATCCCATTTTTGCCATGTCTGGAGTGGCCAATCCCCTCCGTCGTAAAGGCTTTAGCCACAACACTCTGCAACACACCTGGTAGAGCATCGCGACTGGTGCCGAGTTTCTGCCAGATGATGAACCAAAATGAACCAAAGCTCACACAGTAGATACGTTGGCGTCACAGCGACTCGACCCTAGAAGAAAATCATGCATGCGGTCCGCTGCTAGACA